AATGGCATACACGATGCACGAGGTAACATGGCATACACAATGCGCTAACATACAACCTAGCATATACAATGCTATGAAATGAAATGGCATACACAATGCACAATGGACTTACACCAACATGAGTGGACCTCAGCCACACTCACATCAGTAGCCATTAGATGAAAATGAGACACTCGAGATGCGTGCACACGTGCACGCAAACCGAGGACCGAACCTAAGGCACAAATGGCACTCTAACAAAGCATGGCAAGGTATGAAGCATGATATGAAAACATGCAAATTTCAGTACCAAAATATGATGCAAAATGATCCCGAAACATGGAAACATGGCTCTCGATGCATGGAATGGGACCCGAAACATGAATTTAGGCACATGGAATGACCTATGGCTATGCAAAGCATGCATTATTTGAACATGAAGTGTGAATACAGAATCAAGACAGTCCCAAAACAAGCATATTTATAGATTTAGGCAAGGCCAAACAATGGACACAAATAAGACTAAACTAGCATGCCAAAATGGCCCCGCAAGAGAGGTAATGAAGAAAGTAGCAACTTCTGGCCCAAAATGGTCAAGAGCCCTTCAACAAAGTTGAAGAGGGGCTCAAAATGAAGCACTTTACAGTGTACAACCAGCCACGGAAACAAACACAAGTATGGCTAAACTATTGTGCAAGAAATGGGCCAAAAGGGAGACAAAGAAGCAAGTGATGGTTTCTGGGCTCAAACAAAGGAGGGCCCTTCAACAAAGTTGAAGAGAGGCCCAAAACATGGTATTTTACAGTTAGTGACCAAACCCAAAACAGTGCACATGCAAGCCTAAAATACTATGCAAAATAAGGCCTAAAAGAGGTTTAAACACAAAGAGTAAAAAGGGAGCTTCAAACAGAAAAAGACCCTTGATCAAACATGAAGAGGGGGTCAAAATAAGGCTATTTACAGTTCGGACCAGGGCCCAAAAATATAAGCACAAGGGGCTAACAAAACATGCAAAAATGAGGCCAAAAGAGGAATAAAGAGGCAAGTTCCAAAAGGAAGCCTCAAACAGTGAAGAGCCCTTCAAAAATGTTGAAGAGGGGCTCAAAATAAGTCAACTCACAGTTTATAGAAAAGCTCAAAACAGTTTACAAATAGGCCTAAAATACTATGCAAGAAATAGGCATACAAGAGAGGTAAAGAAGCAAGTATAAAAAGGAAGTCTCAAACAGGGAGAGGCCCTTAAACAAACATGAAAAGGAGCTCAAAATAATGCTATTTTCAGTTAGGGTCGGAGTCCAAAAATGGAAGCAAGTATAGCTTAGATTGTATGCAAAAAATAGAGTCAAGAAGAGGAGAAAGAGACTTACCCTTGAAGACTAATCTTTGACAGCCTTTTGGACCAAGTTTGGTGGCTCTTGACCTCTGCAAATGACCTTGAAGCTGCTGGAATGGAGGGTGGAGGACTTGTGCTAGAGGGTGTAGGGGAAATGATGTAGGACTTGCGAGGTTTTGGTGTTTGGAAGAGGAGGAGAGGGAGGATCAATGCAAGAGACTTAGGGGAAATTTTTGTAACCCTCAGATGGGAGCTGGAGCTGCTGTTATATAGGCAAAAGAAGGAGAGCAAAGGGGGGAAAAATGGGGGGGAAAGAATTCAAGTTTCCCCCCAAAAGTGCAGCCCCCCGAATACAAAATCTGAGGGGAAACAGAATGCACATCTGTAAAGTGTCTGGAGAGAGGATCATGGCCGGCTGGTTATCTAGGGTTTAGGTGGCCGGCCAGCTCTCCCCATGGTCGGCCAGCCAAGGGTCAAAAGGGTCAATCATGATTAGTGGCCGGCCACACCGGAAAGAGGGCCTCCCATGTGTGCACAACACAACCCTGTAGTCAAAAACTGGAGAAGGTGAACCAGGAGAGAGAAAATGCCACTTTTATGAGGGGTTTAAAAGGGTCAACCAGAATTACTGGCCGACCATGTGATATTGGTGGCCTCCCATGTGTGTACAACACAAATATGTGGTTTGGGGCAAGAAAAAGTGGCCTTAGGGTGGTCAACATTGGCTTTCAAGTGAGAAAAACGGGCGACGGAGGGCGACGGAGGACTAAAACTGGTTGTCAGAATAATTACTGGCCTTCCACCCTTCTACGACCTTTCTAACAATGAAACAGAGGTCCCTGCCAAAAATGAACCCAAACCGATGCAAGATGAAGGTTCAGGGGCCGAAATGCGCAGCCCGAGGCCCTGAAAACTGACTGTTAGGCACCGGAAGTGGTGTTCGACCACGAAGTTAGTTTTTTGAGCCACAGTGTCCCTCAAAAGGGAGCAAATAAGATGCATGCCAAAAATCGGAGCAAACGGAGGTGATTAAGCGGTCCCAAACCGAGGCACACGGCCAACGGCTCCGAAAAATCGGAAACCGGACTCCAAACGGGCAAAATGGCCTACGACCACGAAACGTAACCTACGGCCACTGAGAGATGATCTACGAGACCTCTCCCTCCCTTCGGGAAGAGAAAATAGAGAAAACAGAGCCTGGTTCGCAAACCGAGGCAACGCATGAAAGAGTCCGGAAGTCCGGAGGCAAGGCTCGCAGCCGAGACTCTGAAATTTCTGAACGAGGATAATATGTAACATCACCAAGTGCTCAATCGGTGACGTCTGAGTCTTAAGGTCGGTCAAAAATGGGGTGTCTACAACATGCTTCTTGTTCATATTTGGTAGAGAAAATATATAACCCATAAAAATTGGGTTACATATTATTTTATAAAACTTTTAATGCCTAAACAGAAAAATAGCATGTAATTACAGTAGTATCCATTTTTTTAAAAAAATTATCCCGCCATAACTTTCTGCGACCAACTTTTTTTTTTGATCGCCAAAGGGTAATCTTCCGCGACCAAAAAAGCCTTTGGTCGCCAATAGTATACTTTCCGCGACCAACTTTTTTCTTTGGTCGCCAAAGGGTAATCTTCTGCGACCAAAAAAGCCCTTGGTCGCCAATAGGTATACTTTCCGCGACCAACTTTTTTTTGGTCGCCAAAGGGTATACTTTCCGCGACCAACATTTTTTTGGTCACCAAAAGGTATACTTTCCGCTACCAAAAAAGCCTTTGGTCGCCAAAGGGTATACTTTCCGTGACCAACATTTTTTTGGTCGCCAAAAGGTAATCTTCCGCTACCAAAAAAGCCTTTGGTCGCCAATAGGTATACTTTCCGCGACTAACTTTTTTTTTGGTCGCCAAAAGGTGATTTTTCGTGACCAAAAAATTGTGGTCGCCAAAAGTTAGATTTTAGCCGCAGAAAGTGAACTATTTGTGATAAAAAAAAAAAGAAGGTGTTTCTTGTAGTGAGTAATGCGTGCATGTTGCATTATTTAGAATTTTATATGATGAACTATTAACAATAACAAAATTTTATCCCAACTTAATATAAAAGCAGTTGCACTTTATGTATTTTGAAAGCTTGAAGAGTTATTGAAGTTCTAAATTTATAGCATTAATTGATAATCAATTGTATAAGAATTTGATCAACTTGAAATAAATTGTATCAAATTACACAAAATTTATGCTATGAATACAATATTAAACATCCAGAGACAATAATAATAGAGAAACAGTTGATGACAAAATAAAAAGACAAACTTTTGGAAGCAAAAAAGTAATAGTAAATGCAAAACAAAGAGGTTGAATAAATTTAAAAATAAAAAATAAAAATAAAGTTGTAGCATTTTTTAACCCAAAAAAAAAAAATTACAAAGGAATGCAAGGGAAAATGAAAACAAAGGGAAAAAAAAAATGGAAAAATGAAAACACCAAAAAGAAGGGGAAAAAAAGTCTTAAAAACATTAAAGTCTCTCAATTAGTATTGGCACATGTCAACCATTTAGATAGCAAGCTTACCTATGGTATCAACAGCTCTTTCATTACCCTCATTCCCAAGCTAGATAGTCCTATTCATCTGACTGACTATAGGCCCATTAGCTTGGTGGGCTCTCTATACAAAATTTTAGCAAAAGTTTTAGTGCAGAGGCTAAAGCCTGTGATGCCTTCAATCATAGGTGAGACCCAGACAGCTTTTATAGGTGGTAGGAACATCCTAGATGGGGTGTTTATCGCTAATGAGGTTGTTGATGGATGGAAGAAGGCCAAGAGGCAAGGGTTAATCATCAAGCTGGACTTTGAGAAAGCCTTTGATTCAGTCAACTGGGAATTCTTGTTCTCTATGATGTCAAGCTTTGGACTTGGTTCTAAGTGGATCTCCTGGATAAAAACTTGTGTGTCTTCAGCCCGTATCTCCGTTCTTGTCAATGGATCTCCAACTAATGAGTTCTCTCCGCAAAGAGGCCTTAGGCAAGGCGACCCATTATCACCTCTCCTATTCAACATAGTGGCTGAAGGGCTCAATATCCTTCTCACCAGAGCTATTAATCTTGGCTTCCTTAAAGGTGTTCTGGTTGGGGCTAGTGAGGTCCTTGTATCACATCTCCAGTTTACGGATGATTCTATTCTTTTCTGTGAAGCAGATATGGATCAAGTGGTTATCATCAAAAGAGTGCTTCGATGCTTTGAAGTTCTATCCGGGCTCAGAATTAATTACCTCAAAAGTGTGGTTTGTGGAGTAGGTGTGGTTGAAGAGTCACTCCAAAACTTTGCAAGTTGCTTGAATTGTAAGGTGCTCTCATTGCCTTTGAAATTTCTTGGGCTGCCATTAGGTTCCAACCCAGGTAGCAAATCTACTTGGAAACCTGTCCTAGACACTATTAGAGCAAGACTATCAGGTTGGATGAGGAAAATGTTGTCCTTTGCTGGAAGACTAACCCTCATCAAATCTGTCCTATCCTGTCTACCCGTGTACTACCTTTCTCTCTTCAAGATGCCTAATGGTGTAGCCCGTGAAGTGGAGAAGATTGAAGCTGCCTTTCTGTGGGGTGGTGATGGGCTCAAAAGGAAAATTCACTTGGTGAATTGGTTAGATGTAACCAAGAGTGTTGCTTAAGGGGGCCTGGGCATCAGGAGAATTAAGGATGTCAATGCTTGCTTGCTTATCAAATGGTGGTGGAAATTTGGCACTCAAACAAATGCACTTTGGAGGAGAATCATTTGTAGTAAATACAAAATCGAGGTAAATTGTTGGCATCCTCCTGTGATATCCTCCTACAAACTCTCTAGGGTGTGGAGGGACATTCTCTTCATTGGGGATCATAGTACTAATATCCTTAACTTTTTCCTTCTAAGCTGCCAAATCAAGGTGGGGGATGGCTGTAGAATTAGATTTTGGTACGATAAGTGGTGTGGATCAACTTGCCTCAAGGATGAATTTCCACCCCTTTTCAACCTGTCTGTTGATAAGGAAGGTTCTCTTCAACAATTTCTTGCAAGGAAAACTAATGATACTGATTGGAACTTCAACTTCAGAAGAGCCTTGTATACTTGGGAACTGCCTGATGTTTCTCGACTGCTTAGCTTGTTGGCCTCTGCTCCCTCTTTAACCACTGGATGTGTTGATTGTTTGGTCTGGAACCCTGCTACAGCTGGTTCAGGTCCTTTCTCTGCCTCTTCTCTTTATTCATTTAGCACATCTCTCCTGGGGCCTGATCTCACCATAACCAAATTTATTTGGTGCAACCCCTTACCCCCCAAAGTCCTTTTCTTTGGATGGCTAGCCTGGAAAAACAGAGTTAAAACTGCAGTGTTCCTTCACAACCTTGGAATCCTAGGCTCCAATACATCACCTTATTGCATCTTCTGCAAATCTACCCCTGAATCTGCCAATCATGCTTTACTTCATTGTCCTTTCTCTTGGTCCATTTGGTCTGCTGTGTTATCTGGTTGGGGGATCCAATGGTGCATCCCATACTCTGTAGCAGACTTATTTAACTGGTGGTTGAGTAGGAAGCTTAGGGACTTTATTGCCAAAATTTGGAGAGCCATTCCTTTTGTTGTCCTTTGGTCTCTTTGGAAGCATAGAAATGATTGCGTATTCTCTAATGCCCATCCTAACTCAGTGGATCTGTGGGAACTAATCAAAATCAGGTTAGCCCATTGGCTTAAGGCCTCTATCAAGGACTTCCCCTTCTCAGTTTCAGATCTAGTTTGCAATTGGAGGAATATTAGGAGCTTCATCTGAGTATTCTGTTCAGTTTATCTGGTCTGTGCTAGTGCTCTTTGCGTGAGTTTGGTTGGTGTGATTTAATTGAGGAGTCTGCTAGAAGCTTCAATTGAGGAGTCTCTAATTGAGGAGTTTATCTGCCTTATCTGGTCTGTTAGAAGCCTCATCTGAGTTTGTGTTAATTGCTGTCTTGCTGACTTTTCTGTTAATTGCTGTCTTGCTGAAGCTCTGTAGGTTGATTCTATTTTTGTTGCTAAAATGATGGTCTGCACAATTTCTGGTCTGTGCTGTCTTCTGTTGTTCTGTTTCTGAGCCCTGGTATTTCTATGTTCTGTGCTGCTTCTGATCCCTGGGCTGGTTTCTGGGCTGGTTTGTGGTGATGTTCTGATTCTGGGTTCAGTTGGTAGGCAGAGGAGTTTGATTAAGCTGGTTTATTATGATTTCAGTTGGGCTGCATTGTGTTGATGTTTCAGAATTCAGAATCTGTTTTGAGCTGCATTTGGAAGGGTTCAGTTGGTAGGCAGAGGAGTTGATTGAGCTGTTTGTTTTGAATTCAGATGGGCTGCATTGTGTTGATGTTCCCAATCTGTTTTGAGATGAATCTGTTTTCTGCTTCTGTTGTTTTTCTGTTGTGTTTCTCCCCTCTCTTCTCCTCTTGTTCGCTCGCTTGTTGGTCCCTCTCCAACTAGTGCTTGGAGCTTTGCTTTAGCTCCAAGCTTCTCTTTATTGATGTACCTTTCCATACTTTGTATGATTTCATCAATAAAGATTTTCTTTGCCGATCAAAAAAAAAAAAAATTACAAAACTAAAAGAAAAATTATAATTAAGTAATACCAATATCAAAGCAAAGTTTATAAATTATTTTAATGTCATTAAATAGGAGAAATTATAAAATAAAGTTTCACAGCCCATTAAAGTAAGTAAAATTTAGAAATTTGAAATTTTAATTTTCACTTCCACCAACTTAATTATTAAGTAATAAATCTTTCATCTCTGACCCATTAAAGTAAATGAATTACAATTTTAATTAAATCAGAACTCTCAGATAAATTAAATATATCTCTACCAATATCGCATAACTTGCTGCATCCTTGATGAACCCATCTCGTACTCATGAAGTATTTACAGAATACCCAACTGTCAAAGAATGTATAAAACATATCTAGTACATATTTCGAGTACCTAATACACATGTAGCTTTATCGATATGTGTATTAATATCTGGTACGAGTACGACAATATTTGCTCCTGCTTCATAGAAAAATATATACAAAATATATTAAAATTTGTAAAATAATTAATAAAAATATATTAAAGTGTTGTGGAATATATAAAGTGTATATTAAGATTATAAATATTTTAACATTATGTAAATCTTATTGACAATGTTATTAACCGGATCCATTTATCAAACTACTCAGAAATATTAAACACTTTTTATCAAACAAATCAGGTCAAATAATTTTTCTTATTTGTTATCTAATCTAAAAATTTTAATATATAATCGTAAACGTATAGCACCGGTGGCTAACTTATTTGATAATAATGATAAGAATTCTAATTTTAAGACTCTAATTAAAATTCTTATAATGTGACACCAAAAAAAAAAAAAAAACAACAGGTAAGACCACCTGTTTAGAGCTCTCCTCGAGCTCAACCATTGGAGCTCCAAATAATTTATCTTATCTTTATTTGAAAGCACCCACCCAAGTAATGAACTATAAACGAAGTTGAAAAGGTTGACTTGGTGTTGCATAAATTGACACCAACCCTCACAGCATAGCATTGCATTCACATAGGCGCGCGCACACACACACAGAGTGACAGATGGGAGGAGATGGTTGTCTTCCTCTTTTCGAGACAAAGACATAACAATGAAACAGAGGTCCCTGCCAAAAATGAACTCAAACCGATGCAAAATGAAAGTTCGGGGGCCGAAACGCGCAGCCCGAGGCCCCGAAAATTAACTGTTAGGCACCGGAAGTGGTGTTCAACCACGAAGTTAGTTTCTTGAGCCACAGTGTCCCTCAAAAGGGAGCAAATAAGATGCATGCCAAAAACTGGAGCAAACGGAGGTGGTTAAGCGGTCCCGAACCGAGGCACACGGCCAACGGCTCCGAAAAATCGAAAATCGGACTCCAAACGGGCAAAATGGCCTACGACCACGAAACGTAACCTACGGCCACTGAGAGATGATCTACGAGACCTCTCCCTCCCTTCGGGAAGAGAAAACAGAGCCTGGTTCGCAAACCGAGGCAACGCATGAAAGAGTCCGGAAGTCCGGAGGCAAGGCTCGCAGCCGAGACTCTGAAACTTCTGAACGAGCACAATATGTAACATCACCAAGTGCTCAATCGGTGACGTCTGAGTCTTAAGGTCGGTCAAAAATAGGGTGTCTACAACATGCTTCTTGTTCATATTTGGTAGAGAAAATATATAACCCATAAAAATTGGGTTATATATTATTTTATAAAACTTTTAATGCCTAAACAGAAAAATAGCATGTAATTACAGTAGTATCCATTTTTTAAAAAAATTATCCTGCCATAACTTTCTGCGACCAACTTTTTTTTTTTATCGCCAAAGGGTAATCTTCCGCGACCAAAAAAGCCTTTGGTCGCCAATAGTATACTTTCCACGACCAACTTTTTTCTTTGATCGCCAAAGGGTAATCTTCCGCGACCAAAAAAGCCCTTGGTCGCCAATAGGTATACTTTCCGCGACCAACTTTTTTTTGGTCGCCAAAGGGTATACTTTCCGCGACCAACATTTTTTGGTCACCAAAAGGTATACTTTCCGCGACCAAAAAAGCCTTTGGTCGCCAAAGGGTATACTTTCCGTGACCAATATTTTTTTGGTCGCCAAAAGGTGATCTTCCGCTACCAAAAAAGCCTTTGGTCGCCAATAGGTATACTTTCCGCGATTAACTTTTTTTTTAGTCGCCAAAAGGTGATTTTTCGTGACCAAAAAATTGTGGTTGCCAAAAGTTAGATTTTAGTCACAGAAAGTGGACTATTTGCGATAAAAAAAAAAGGTGTTTCTTGTAGTGAGTAATGCGTGCATGTTGCATTATTTAGAATTTTATATGATGAACTATTAACAATAACAAAATTTTATCCCAACTTAATATAAAAGCAGTTGCACTTTATGTATTTTGAAAGCTTGAAGAGTTATTGAAGTTCTAAATTTATAGCATTAATTGATAATCAATTGTATAAGAATTTGATCAACTTGAAATAAATTGTATCAAATTACTCAAAATTTATGCTATGAATACAATATTAAACATCCAGAGACAATAATAATGGAGAAACAGTTGATGACAAAATAAAAAGACAAACTTTTGGAAGCAAAAAGTAATAGTAAATGCAAAACAAAGAGGTTGAATAAATTTAAAAATAAAAAATAAAAATAAAGTTGAAGCATTTTTTAACCCAAAAAAAAAATTACAAAGGAATGCAGGGGAAAATGAAAACAAAGGGAAAAAAAAAAAAAGGAAAAATGAAAACACCAAAAAGAAGGGGAAAAAAAGTCTTAAAAACATTAAAGTCTCTCAATTAGTATTGGCACATGTCAACCATTTAGATTGATACGTGTAGGCATTTTAGAGCATTCTAATATAAAGTTATACTTTACTTATATTATATATGATATAATATAATAGCCCTCAAACGAAAAATATGATGAAGAAAAATAAGGGCAACCTTCTGAAGAATATATATATATATATATATATATATTTGCTTGCCTCATAATTCGTATTCATTAGATCTATCATTCTTTAAAAAAATTTATTAAAATCAAATAATATAACAGGATGTATGGGATAAGATGACAAACAGTTTGAAAGGAGTACACGGCTTCCCCGGGTTACTTATCCCGCAGGATTAGTCCTGGCTTCCCGAAAAACTAGAGGGTTAGGGATACCTGCGTTATCAAAAAAAAAAGATGACAAACACCTATTTTTAGACAAATAATGCCTAAATTTAGATGCACAAATAAGATTAGATCAATTTAAGCTTGAGCTTAAGCTGATAAAAAATGATACATACTATGAAACTTTGCCTCAAAATTTATTCCGAAAAGAGATGTACAGTAAATTTAAAGTAAGTACGATTTGGGCCATTCCTAGAATGATTTTGATCCTTAGATGCACTTGTACGAGTTATTTTTTTAAGTTTGTGGTATTGTTGAACAAAAGTTAAAATTTGAGCTTAAGCATCCAGAAGGACTTTAGTCTGAACTGGCTTAGCTAAGTTTATTTTGTGCACATATTAAAACAACTTATAATTTGAGCATTAGAACGGACTTTCGTAGTCTGTACTTAATTAGTAATTGGGCGCTTTACGAAGCCCAATATTTGTCCATTTCCATGGACTTCAAACAATCTTAAATATAAATCATGTAATAAACCAGTCTACTGCTCTTCAATCGGGTTGGTTGAGTTTTCTATCTGTTTCTGAAGAAAAATTAAATTTAGTTTAGTAGAAAAATAAAAACATTCATTATTTTTTATGATTTTCTTTGTTTTGGGGACAGATATAATTTTTTTAAATTTAAAAATTTATTTATTGGTGTTTATTTTTTGTCAAAACAAGTGTCCAATTTTAGAACTTGTTTTCTATTTAACTTTTTGAAAAATTAGAGAGCAGTTTGATGAAAATAAAAATCAAAAGATATATATTTAAAATTTTTAAGAGTTATTTCTGCCTCCAAAAAGAGAAAACAGTATAAAAATAATGACTCTATTTTATTTTCAATTTCTTCTCACCAAATTAGTTTTTGAAAAATTTTCAAAAAATGAAAATTGAAAACTCAACCAAATAGATTATTTCCTGACAGGTCTTTAAGTTAGGCTTTGTTTTCATCTTTCATGTTTTTAGAAATAAAAATAATGAAAAGTTCAAAATCATTTATCGTTTTGATTTTTTAATGAGAACTTACAAAGATATTTTTTGATTGTTTTGTTTTTATAAAAATGATTACTTTCATAAATAAGTTTCAAAAAAAGTTCGCC